GCAGATGAAGAAAACAACTACCACTATGAGAACTAAACGGATGGCCTGTTTCTTGGATGACTGGCTGTTCAGCAGCCTCCAGACAATCTGTGAGTAGCAGAAGCCCATGATGAGAAGAGGGACAAATAGACCCAACATGTTCATTTTAAAAAGGCTGAAGATCCTCCAGTAGTGAGAGTTGGGAAAGACGGGGTAGCAGTCGTGAGTTGCATTAGTACCTGGCTGTTGTTGGAGAAAGATCAGGTCAGGGAAAGAAGCCATAAATCCAACCACCCATGTAACAGCTGCTGCGATCATTCCAAAGGACCTCGTCCGGGCTCTCATAGCGTAAACAGCGTGTACTATAGCCAAGTAGCGGTCGATGCTCATTAGACTGATGAAGAAGATCCCACAGTAAAAAACGATGTGATAAATACCCAGGACCACTTTGCACATGGCATCCCCAAACCGCCAATGGTCCCGGGCTTGGTGGGCTAGAAAGGGAAGGGTGCACACCAAGAGAAGGTCAGCTACAGCCAAGTTTAAGAGGCACACGTCCGTCATGCTGCGGAGGCGAACCCCACGTGTTAAGACCCAGATGACCAGACAGTTACCCAGAAGGCCCGTGAGGAAGAAGATTGCATAGAGCGCGGGAAGAAAACTGGCCCTGTGTGGCGGATACACACACGTCCCAGTGCTCCCATTCTCATAGTCATCATACATGTAGTCATATTCTGGAGTAGAGCTGGTGAGAAACAGTGGACAAAGACAGTAAGGAAATATTAATGATGAGGGAGATGCCATTATTTCAGCTCAGTTTATTCAATCTACAAACATTTTGCTTTAAAAAACTCTGTAGCTGTGGGCAGTACAATACTAAGCTAAGCTACAGGATAATGTTGTTGTGTTCTTGCAACCGAATCTGAGAAACTGTCAGCAAAGGAGTTACTAACTTAGTGAGGAATGACATGCTAGATAGAAACTGAAGAATCCAGCTGCTGATAATCAAAAGTCCTCTTCGTGGCCTGGAGTACAGTTACACAGTGAAAGCAAGGGAGGCACAGACTGACAAAACTGCAAAATAAAGAGCATATAAACGCATGTGTTTAGGCAATAGGTTAAATCTTACCTTGGATAGCCTTCTACAGATGAATTTTCACTTATTCCAATGAAACGAGCAACAGTAGGGACAGCTGTGGCCATGGCCAACATCCTGAAAAACAAAACAAAACCATGACGTCATTTGTGAGGAATAAAAACCCACACCCTGGATCAGTCCAGTTTGTTTGTCTTTATACAACATTTATAAAGATGAATGTTGCTTTGCTACAGTGCAGATTCAATTTTTTAATTATCTCTTTTTTGTATTACAACTCCCTTTTTTGTTTAAGTACAGGGCTTCTTAAGTCGTTCCCTACTAAACCTTTGGAATTTTGTATTGAACTTGTTTATTTTAGAAGATTATTTCCTTCCCCTTGACTACTCATTGGAATGTACAGACAGTCTAAATTTGTGCGAGTAAACTCATTTGTTTAAAAATTAATATCCAGGAGGAATTGCACCCTTCCTTTACTTTAGAAACACACCAAAGCACTAACTCCTCTTTGTATTTTCTTTTTACAATGCTAGACTTAAATCTAATTAAACAAAAAGGTCATCATTCTTATCTCCTTACCTAAGCCTAGCATTTGAAACATTTGATCATTATATCACTTTCTTGTAACATTTAGATCAGGTTTTTAAAGCCCTTAACTTGGTAGGTTCAATTGATAGTTGTTTGCCTTCCAGAACACTGTACTTTATTAGTTTATCCAGCAACCACTGAAAAGGAGTCAGAGATTGAAGCCTTTGTCTGTTCAACTCAAAGCTATGAGATGCGTAACCTACAGATTTCAGGGAAGCTATAGCTCACTATTTTTAAAAAGCAAACCACCAACTTCTCTCGTTGCTACAGCCTTTAACTATCCATCACTTTCCTGATACAGACCTGGAAATGTATTTACAGAGTTTTTGCACAAACACAGTTGTTCGGTCAGATTAAAAAATATTTTAAAGTATTTTTTGTGAGGCCGACAAAAACCAAACCATACAGATATATGAGCATCGATGCAACATATATGGCCATGCTAGTTAGTGGGGTTACAATAGATGGAACAACAAGACATACATTTAGTGAGGTAACGCTCTCAGACTGTATTTATAATGAATTAAAATACTTAAAAGTAAACAAATAAACAAAATGTAGTTTTAAAAAAAGTATATAGCACCATGCCCCAATCAGCTGAATTAAAATACTTGACATTTATGTTCTATATAACCTCATAACCACAACTGAAACTCTTGGCTGGACTTATAGTATGAGGTCATTTCTAATGTCTCACAGCTGGAGTCAAGTAGGGTCAGAGTTAATCAATTCATTTCAATACATGTTAAGCTTATTTCCAACAAAGATATGTACATGTTCTTATCATAAAGCATGTGCATGTAAAAAATGAAATACAAATGTACCTACCAGTGATGTTAACAAGATAGCTGAGAGTGGTGTTTTATTCTAGATCAAAGATGCTGAGGTGGACGGCCAGATCAAATAAATGATCAGATATGTAAGCAAGCTCAGAAAGCACTGTGTGGAAACCTCTTGTTTCACACCTCTTTGTGGTGTGCAACCCCGTTAAACATCACTCCCATCTCTTAACCAAACCAGGTGGGCTTGCTTGTAGGCTTACCTAGAAGAGTGATATATTTGTATGCATATGTTCGGTGGTTTGTAGCTTCCTGGTAAATGCTTTCAAACCGTGCATCATGCATGTAATAAAAAGCACTTTGTCAGGCTTAATATAGATACCCCCAAAGCTTTTTGCTTACATGTATTTAAAAGAAGACCTTAACCTAAAGTATTATTTAATGTTTAAATAAAGCCTAATTAGTTTGTCTGTTTTGCACATCCTCCTATTAATATATTTGTACATACGGCACTAAACTGTTTTATTCTAGATACCATTTACAGCAGGGGTGCCCACACTTTTTCAGCTTGGGAGCTACTTTTAAAATGACCAAGCCCAAAAGATCTACCTACAGGGCCGTCCCTGCCCAATCTGTGTCGCGAGCGCGGGGGGGAGGGGGGGGGGGTGCTAGTGGAGTAAACGGCGGATAATCTGTGGCGCGTTTACACTAATTGCGCCGCATAAGCGCATAATAGTGCGCCGCATTTGCGCTTCAGATGAGGAGGTGAGGCCCCCTCATAACGGCATGAACCCGTATGGCTCAATACAACTCAGACTGGCGTACCTGTACGTAAATCAAGTAGTAAGGATGTAAGGATGGATGATAGGATAACTTAAAAAAAAAAAAAGATTTAATTTTTTTTTTTTTTTTTTTTTTCAATGCCATGCGATCTACCCACACTACCTTTGCGATCGACCGGTCGATCGCGATCGACGTAATGGGCACCGCTGATTTACAGTATCTTCTTGATATTTTCTATTCTATATTTCTATCATTGACCTTCTACTTTCCTCCTATTTTGTATATACTCTTAATATTTAAATGTTTTCATCAAATATAACACATTCAAAAGTGCTTTACAAAAAATGAAAGACATTAAGAAAAAGGCATTTTAAACAGTCATTAAAAAGCAACACAATCTACCTGCATTGCAATTACTCTAAACATGTAATAACGTGCTTTAACCAGTAGGTGGTTTGGGTTAAAAAGCTGTCAAGTTTACAGTGTTAACAAAATAAAATATACTGCTGTTTCCGGTTTAGTTTACGACGGATATATTTTGTTATTGTTTTGATATTTGTAACACAAAAGCGATGGAAAAAACCCACAGCAACACAGAAAAGATGGTCTTAACATGACCCAGCGGTCTAGTAGTTAATAAAAACAATAATATCAAAACAAAATTATTACTACTAACTTTATTGTGAAATTAAAACAGAACGGTAAAAGAATAGTTTCCGGTCTATTCTGAAGCCCGATCTCTGTAGATAAATAAAGAACTACGACAGATGTGTAATATTTAATGCAGCCGAACCATTCATTACAATGCATTCATGTGATGACTTTCAAAGAGTAAAGCAAGCACTGCTGAATAAAGTATGATTTTATCTTTTACGAAACGTTTTTTTTCATATGGAATGCAGTTGGAGGTCAACCAATCACAGAGCTTGAGAACTAATCACGGGGTTTGTCAAACAAAGCACATGAGCATTCTGGGTAGTGTAGTGTCTTCTGCCATCCTAAACTCCGAAAAAATATTTGTTTCTCCGAATCGAAGGGGAAAAATACAAAAGCATTGCACACAATTTAAACTAATCAATGTTGTGTAATTAACAAGGATAATCTGGTGTTTTTGAGTTGATGAGTAGTGCAGATATCACTGTAAAATCAATCAACAGTAAGGAGAATAGTTACTTCCGGGTGTAAAATCCTCCGTTATCCAATGGGAATGGACGCTCACATTGCCTTTAAACAGCCGCCGACATGGACCGATGCGGTGCTTCCATGAGCGTTAAATACCACCGCAGATGGGAATACATTGCAATCAGTTGAAAGCTCTTTCCGTCCGTTTATGAAGCTGAAGGACCCTCGGCGCGTCCCAACTGCACGCCACGGGACCCTGACCAAGCGTCGCTCCTGGACGTTCAGGGAGTGAGAGTGTGTTGGTGAAGAAGGAGGCAAAATCATTGCAAGCCCTGGTGGATAGAAATTCAGAGGCTACTGACACTGGGGGGTTAGTTAGTCTGTTGACGGTAGCAAACAAGGCACGTGCGTTGTTTTTGTTTTTGGCAATGATGTCAGAGAAGAAAGACTGCCGTGCGTTTTTCAATTCCAAATTATAAAGGCCAAGTCTCTCTTTATAGATTTCAAAATGAACCTGGAGATTTGTTTTTCGCCACCTGCGTTCAGCTTTTCCACATATTTTCTTGCCAATCACTTCCTTTACCTTAGTTGGAGCAATGGCATCTATAACATTTTAAATGTTTTGAATTAAAATGATCTACTAGCTCATTTACTGAGATGTTATCAGGGGCAAGTGTGGAAGAAAAATTCTGAGTAAACATTTCCCAAGTATTTTCTGTTAAATATCGCTTAATAAATAAAGACTCCTGAAACTGCATAAGTGTAGTTTCAAAATAGCGCCATGTATGGGAAGCAAATGACTTTCTCTGTGTAGGGACTGAGGTTCTAACTAATATCTAAAGCGAGTGAGATGCTTGTTACGGATTTAAAAACAAATATGCACCGTTTTTAAATTAGTCAGTTGTTTTTAAATGAGTTAAGGGATTCTGCTCTGCACACTTCTTGGAAAGTACTTACTGTACAATCTACCAAGAAGGAAATGCCACAAATAGATTTAAAGTGGTGCAATGCTGTGTCAAGATGCACTTTTTTGACATAACACACACATCTCAGAATTATTTTGTTCTCACTTATTATAAAAAGAAATTATCAAGCACATTTTATTTTGTCTTAGTTTACAAAACAATGGAATTTGACAAAGACTAATGTACTTTGAATTTCAATATTTCCATGCATGTTTCATAATATTGTTTACAAATAACAGCATCCTTTCTTCTTTTTCACCTCTTCGAAGCAGCAACCACATGCAAAACAACACACACACACACACACACACACACACACACACACACACACACACACACACACACACACACACACACACACACACACACACACAAACACACTGCACTGTCTTTGTAACAATGTTTTTGTAGCATTCTTAATAATCAGATGTTACAGGCGTGTTGGACGTCTCTTTCTCGGTGGTGTCTCTGTTGCTGAGAGTCCCTCTGCTCAGCTGCCTCCAGCAGAAGTACCTAGTCAGCGCATTACGCAGGGACTTCCTGAACTTCTCCCCTACAAATGCATAGATGATTGGATTCACACAGCAGTGAGACAGTGCAATGATTTCAGCATAGCTCATTGCAGAGTTGATGGCTTTTTCAGCCTGGCAGGTTTGCAGGGTTTCCAGGAACAGCTGTAGAGTTTTAAGAAGAACCACAACATTGTAGGGGACCCAGCAAATGACAAACACGCAAACTATTGTAAATATTAGCTTTATAGCTCTGTCTTTTTTGGAGTTCCTGGACTTGGACAGCACAACAAGTATTTTCACATAGCAGAAAATCATGACGGGGAGGCCCACAAATAGCCCCACTGTGTTTTCGCTGAAGTTTCGCAGCATCTTCCACAAATGCTGACTCTCATGTGGGTAGAATGGCTGGCACACTGAGCTGTTGTCGTCTGGATCTATCTCCAAGGCGGCAAATCTCAACCCAGGGATTGCCATGATGACTGAAATGATCCAGATAGTGATGCTGGCTATGATTCCATAGCGAAGTGTGCGTGCTCGCATGGCTGCAACAGCATGGACAATAGCCAAGTAGCGGTCCACACTCATTAGAGTCACAAACAGATTTCCACTGTAGAAGCCCACCTGTTCAAAGAAGCAGAGGGGGAAGGAACGTCAGAATCCGGTTAACCTGGCCTCAATGAGGTTCTTCATACATTACACAGCAGGTGTCTCGCACAGCTGACAGCTGTCGTTCGTTACCATAGAAAACATCTCATCTCACCTTTTATTTTTAGCAGAATATCCCCCACATTATAAAAACAACTAGAACTGTAGGGAGACAGGTGCACAACCAACATATTTGCACAATCATTATTTACTTTGCTCCACTTTACCCTTAAACCCTTAGACACGGCACTTGTAGAAGGACGTGTTTTTTTATAGATAATTGGTAATCGGCATGTTTTAATATGTTCTGCTTTAACTAATAAGTACCCAAACCTACTGAGTTTCAAACTTGAATTATAATGGACTTGTTATGGTTTTGTATTCTAAATGATAGAAATGGTTAAAAGGAAGAAAGTAAAGAAATAAAGCGCCACCTGATAGACTCCTGTCAGCAGTTTGCAGGTTGCGAGGTTCTGATAGTTGACCAAGAGGGGCAGGGATGCAGCCAGTATGAGGTCAGACAGAGCCAGGTTGAGCAGGCATACGTCCGTCATGCTCTTCAACTTTATGTACCGGATGAGAACCCAGAAAATAGTGGTGTTGCCTGTGAAATCAATTCAGATGATTTATCCATACTAAAGTTTTTCTCACAATGTGTAAGATTTATCTGTAAGATTCTTGTTTGAACATACCTAGCACACTTAGAAAAAACAGCATGTAGTACAGCATGTGCAATATTGTGGTTCCATTTGGCAACTCTGGACCGCCATCCTGATCACAGGTGTCATTGTAATCATAGTCCAAGTACGGAAATGAGTCATACTCTGATATATTCATACTGCTGTGTGAGGAGGAAAAGAACATACGCAGATTACTTTGGGTAAACACAATGTGACATGCAAGGTAAAAAACCCATGATGTACCAAATATATCTAGCATGACGCATAAAGTTGAAAAAAACATTGTGGTTGCTTGAAGCAACAGATGTTGGGGTGGGGGTGACTAGGTGGCATCATACTATCCACAAAGTAATTCAATATTACCACAATTACCATTATTCAAATCACTAAGTCAAGCAGCAAAAAATAAAAATCATATGATTTACATATAACAATAAAGATGTTAGTAAAACACTTCAAAGATTCACATTCTCTACAATGTCATCATTTATCTTTACATGTTGGTGAATAGGCTTACTGGTCTGTGTGTGTGCAATAGTAAGTTGTTCTAGTACAATCCATGTTGGTATTAAACCAGGGCAACCCATGTCTACATCAATTGTTGAAGTCTGATGGGAATGAGTTTCACCAAGAGATAAAACAGATAAAAAGATAGAGTTTTTTGATAAAACCATAAGTAAAGTAAATCATTGAGTTATGGTTGAACAGCTCTGTCCTTTAAAAGTAACTCCAAAGCTTTGGACTTTCAAACCTAACAAAAGTAGTTTGATCTGCAGTTTGTCATTTAAGTGTTCGTCCCAGACCTTCCTTAATAATTTAACAAATAAAAAAAGGGACAAAAATACAAAACAATTTAAGCTCTTATTGAGTCTTATTAGTTATTTCAGCTTTTCTCGTCCAAAACCGCATCCTGTTATTCACTATCTCCTTTTATAGACTTCTCTCAAACATCATAGTTAAATAACAGAGGGTTTGGCAAAGAAAGCGACCGTCTTGGATGAGGGAGATGCCATTATTTCAGCTCAGTTTATTCAATCTACAAACATTTTGCTTTAAAAAACTCTGTAGCTGTGGGCAGTACAATACTAAGCTAAGCTACAGGATAATGTTGTTGTGTTCTTGCAACCGAATCTGAGAAACTGTCAGCAAAGGAGTTACTAACTTAGTGAGGAATGACATGCTAGATAGAAACTGAAGAATCCAGCTGCTGATAATCAAAATTCCTCTTCGTGGCCTGGAGTACAGTTACACAGTGAAAGCAAGGGAGGCACAGACTGACAAAACTGCAAAATAAAGAGCATATAAACGCATGTGTTTAGGCAATAGGTTAAATCTTACCTTGGATAGCCTTCTACAGATGAATTTTCACTTATTCCAATGAAACGAGCAACAGTAGGGACAGTTGTGGGATGTGGCCCACATCCTGAAAAACAAAACAAAACCATGACGTCATTTGTGAAGAATAAAAACCCACACCCTGGATCAGTCCAGTTTGTTTGTCTTTATACAACATTTATAAAGATGAATGTTGCTTTGCTACAGTGCAGATTTTATTTTTTAATTATCTCTTTTTTGTATTACAACTCCCTTTTTTGTTTAAGTACAGGGCTTCTTAAGTCGTTCCCTACTAAACCTTTGGAATTTTGTATTGAACTTGTTTATTTTAGAAGATTATTTCCTTCCCCTTGACTACTCATTGGAATGTACAGACAGTCTAAATTTGTGCGAGTAAACTCATTTGTTTAAAAATTAATATCCAGGAGGAATTGCACCCTTCCTTTACTTTAGAAACACACCAAAGCACTAACTCCTCTTTGTATTTTCTTTTTACAATGCTAGACTTAAATCTAATTAAACAAAAAGGTCATCATTCTTATCTCCTTACCTAAGCCTAGCATTTGAAACATTTGATCATTATATCACTTTCTTGTAACATTTAGATCAGGTTTTTAAAGCCCTTAACTTGGTAGGTTCAATTGATAGTTGTTTGCCTTCCAGAACACTGTACTTTATTAGTTTACCCAGCAACCACTGAAAAGGAGTCAGAGATTGAAGCCTTTGTCTGTTCAACTCAAAGCTATGAGATGCGTAACCTACAGATTTCAGGGAAGCTATAGCTCACTATTTTTAAATAGAATAGAATTGGGAGGGATGAAACCCTCTTTAATGGTCGCACATGCAGAGCACACAGCACACACACAGTGAAATTTGTTCTCTGCTTTTAACCCATCCTAGTACCAGGAGTCTAGTACTAGGAGCAGTGGGCAGCTATTGTACAGCGCCCGGGGAAAAAAAAAAGCAAACCACCAACTTCTCTCGTTGCTACAGCCTTTAACTATCCATCACTTTCCTGATACAGACCTGGAAATGTATTTACAGAGTTTTTGCACAAACACAGTTGTTCGGTCAGATTAAAAAATATTTTAAAGTATTTTTTGTGAGGCCGACAAAAACCAAACCATACAGATATATGAGCATCGATGCAACATATATGGCCATGCTAGTTAGTGGGGTTACAATAGATGGAACAACAAGACATACATTTAGTGAGGTAACGCTCTCAGACTGTATTTATAATGAATTAAAATACTTAAAAGTAAACAAATAAACAAAATGTAGTTTTAAAAAAAGTATATAGCACCATGCCCCAATCAGCTGAATTAAAATACTTGACATTTATGTTCTATATAACCTCATAACCACAACTGAAACTCTTGGCTGGACTTATAGTATGAGGTCATTTCTAATGTCTCACAGCTGGAGTCAAGTAGGGTCAGAGTTAATCAATTCATTTCAATACATGTTAAGCTTATTTCCAACAAAGATATGTACATGTTCTTATCATAAAGCATGTGCATGTAAAAAATGAAATACAAATGTACCTACCAGTGATGTTAACAAGATAGCTGAGAGTGGTGTTTTATTCTAGATCAAAGATGCTGAGGTGGACGGCCAGATCAAATAAATGATCAGATATGTAAGCAAGCTCAGAAAGCACTGTGTGGAAACCTCTTGTTTCACACCTCTTTGTGGTGTGCAACCCCGTTAAACATCACTCCCATCTCTTAACCAAACCAGGTGGGCTTGCTTGTAGGCTTACCTAGAAGAGTGATATATTTGTATGCATATGTTCGGTGGTTTGTAGCTTCCTGGTAAATGCTTTCAAACCGTGCATCATGCATGTAATAAAAAGCACTTTGTCAGGCTTAATATAGATACCCCCAAAGCTTTTTGCTTACATGTATTTAAAAGAAGACCTTAACCTAAAGTATTATTTAATGTTTAAATAAAGCCTAATTAGTTTGTCTGTTTTGCACATCCTCCTATTAATATATTTGTACATACGGCACTAAACTGTTTTATTCTAGATACCATTTACAGCAGGGGTGCCCACACTTTTTCAGCTTGGGAGCTACTTTTAAAATGACCAAGCCCAAAAGATCTACCTACAGGGCCGTCCCTGCCCAATCTGTGTCGCGAGCGCGGGGGGGAGGGGGGGGGGGGGTGCTAGTGGAGTAAACGGCGGATAATCTGTGGCGCGTTTACACTAATTGCGCCGCATAAGCGCATAATAGTGCGCCGCATTTGCGCTTCAGATGAGGAGGTGAGGCCCCCTCATAACGGCATGAACCCGTATGGCTCAATACAACTCAGACTGGCGTACCTGTACGTAAATCAAGTAGTAAGGATGTAAGGATGGATGATAGGATAACTTAAAAAAAAAAAAAGATTTAATTTTTTTTTTTTTTTTTTTTTTCAATGCCATGCGATCTACCCACACTACCTTTGCGATCGACCGGTCGATCGCGATCGACGTAATGGGCACCGCTGATTTACAGTATCTTCTTGATATTTTCTATTCTATATTTCTATCATTGACCTTCTACTTTCCTCCTATTTTGTATATACTCTTAATATTTAAATGTTTTCATCAAATATAACACATTCAAAAGTGCTTTACAAAAAATGAAAGACATTAAGAAAAAGGCATTTTAAACAGTCATTAAAAAGCAACACAATCTACCTGCATTGCAATTACTCTAAACATGTAATAACGTGCTTTAACCAGTAGGTGGTTTGGGTTAAAAAGCTGTCAAGTTTACAGTGTTAACAAAATAAAATATACTGCTGTTTCCGGTTTAGTTTACGACGGATATATTTTGTTATTGTTTTGATATTTGTAACACAAAAGCGATGGAAAAAACCCACAGCAACACAGAAAAGATGGTCTTAACATGACCCAGCGGTCTAGTAGTTAATAAAAACAATAATATCAAAACAAAATTATTACTACTAACTTTATTGTGAAATTAAAACAGAACGGTAAAAGAATAGTTTCCGGTCTATTCTGAAGCCCGATCTCTGTAGATAAATAAAGAACTACGACAGATGTGTAATATTTAATGCAGCCGAACCATTCATTACAATGCATTCATGTGATGACTTTCAAAGAGTAAAGCAAGCACTGCTGAATAAAGTATGATTTTATCTTTTACGAAACGTTTTTTTTCATATGGAATGCAGTTGGAGGTCAACCAATCACAGAGCTTGAGAACTAATCACGGGGTTTGTCAAACAAAGCACATGAGCATTCTGGGTAGTGTAGTGTCTTCTGCCATCCTAAACTCCGAAAAAATATTTGTTTCTCCGAATCGAAGGGGAAAAATACAAAAGCATTGCACACAATTTAAACTAATCAATGTTGTGTAATTAACAAGGATAATCTGGTGTTTTTGAGTTGATGAGTAGTGCAGATATCACTGTAAAATCAATCAACAGTAAGGAGAATAGTTACTTCCGGGTGTAAAATCCTCCGTTATCCAATGGGAATGGACGCTCACATTGCCTTTAAACAGCCGCCGACATGGACCGATGCGGTGCTTCCATGAGCGTTAAATACCACCGCAGATGGGAATACATTGCAATCAGTTGAAAGCTCTTTCCGTCCGTTTATGAAGCTGAAGGACCCTCGGCGCGTCCCAACTGCACGCCACGGGACCCTGACCAAGCGTCGCTCCTGGACGTTCAGGGAGTGAGAGTGTGTTGGTGAAGAAGGAGGCAAAATCATTGCAAGCCCTGGTGGATAGAAATTCAGAGGCTACTGACACTGGGGGGTTAGTTAGTCTGTTGACGGTAGCAAACAAGGCACGTGCGTTGTTTTTGTTTTTGGCAATGATGTCAGAGAAGAAAGACTGCCGTGCGTTTTTCAATTCCAAATTATAAAGGCCAAGTCTCTCTTTATAGATTTCAAAATGAACCTGGAGATTTGTTTTTCGCCACCTGCGTTCAGCTTTTCCACATATTTTCTTGCCAATCACTTCCTTTACCTTAGTTGGAGCAATGGCATCTATAACATTTTAAATGTTTTGAATTAAAATGATCTACTAGCTCATTTACTGAGATGTTATCAGGGGCAAGTGTGGAAGAAAAATTCTGAGTAAACATTTCCCAAGTATTTTCTGTTAAATATCGCTTAATAAATAAAGACTCCTGAAACTGCATAAGTGTAGTTTCAAAATAGCGCCATGTATGGGAAGCAAATGACTTTCTCTGTGTAGGGACTGAGGTTCTAACTAATATCTAAAGCGAGTGAGATGCTTGTTACGGATTTAAAAACAAATATGCACCGTTTTTAAATTAGTCAGTTGTTTTTAAATGAGTTAAGGGATTCTGCTCTGCACACTTCTTGGAAAGTACTTACTGTACAATCTACCAAGAAGGAAATGCCACAAATAGATTTAAAGTGGTGCAATGCTGTGTCAAGATGCACTTTTTTGACATAACACACACATCTCAGAATTATTTTGTTCTCACTTATTATAAAAAGAAATTATCAAGCACATTTTATTTTGTCTTAGTTTACAAAACAATGGAATTTGACAAAGACTAATGTACTTTGAATTTCAATATTTCCATGCATGTTTCATAATATTGTTTACAAATAACAGCATCCTTTCTTCTTTTTCACCTCTTCGAAGCAGCAACCACATGCAAAACAACACACACACACACACACACACACACACACACACACACACACACACACACACACACACACACACACACACACACACACACAAACACACTGCACTGTCTTTGTAACAATGTTTTTGTAGCATTCTTAATAATCAGATGTTACAGGCGTGTTGGACGTCTCTTTCTCGGTGGTGTCTCTGTTGCTGAGAGTCCCTCTGCTCAGCTGCCTCCAGCAGAAGTACCTAGTCAGCGCATTACGCAGGGACTTCCTGAACTTCTCCCCTACAAATGCATAGATGATTGGATTCACACAGCAGTGAGACAGTGCAATGATTTCAGCATAGCTCATT